CGCCGGCCTGGGCAGCCTGGCCCGGTGCCTCGCCGCTCTGGCGGGAAGGAGTTCTTCCGAACGTCCGATCTGAACCCCCCCCTGCGGCAGCTTAATCATGTGTCCTCACGTCTGGTTGCTAGTTACTTGGGAGAAGAGGCCAGCGCCCGCCTCACTGCAGCCTCCTGTCAGGGAGCTGTAGAGAGCAGTAACATCTCCCCTCAGCCTCCTCTGCTCCAGACTAAACACCCCCAGTTCTCTCAGCCACTCCTCACAAGCCATGTTCCCCAGAGCCCTCACCAGCCTCGCTGCCCTTCTCTGGACTTGCTTCAGCACCTCAAGATCTTTCTTATCCTGTGGTGCCCAAAACTGTCCCCAGTACAGTGTGAGGTATTGGCACAGGCTGCCCAGGGAGATGGTGGAGTCACCATTCCTGGAAGTGTTCAAAAACCGTGTAGATGCAGCACTTGGGGACATGGTTTAATGGTCATGGTATTATTGGGTGATGGTTGGACTTGATGATCTTAGAGGTCTTTTCCAACCTTACTGATTCTATGATTCTACTCAAGCTGTGGCCTCACCAGTTCTGAGTACAGGGGCACGATCACTTCCCCAATCCAGCTGAACACGCTCATTTTGATCCAGGCCAGGATGCTGGTGGCCTTCTTGGCCACCTGGGCACACTGCTGGCTCATGTTCAGCCACCTGTCCACCAGCACCCTCTCGGTCTGTCTCTCTATATATGTGCTGTTACATCTTCCTGCATAAGCAAGATGTTTTTAACATCTGCTCAGAGGAATCAGAGAGACCAACCTACAAGGAGGTCTTAACAGTAGAGTCAGCAGCAAATTGTGGTTCTTCTGGAATAGCTGTGCAAATTGTCAATGAGTCGCATTCTGTTCTTGGTTGTTTTCAGACCTGCACAGCTCACCACTGTGGGGAAACGCTGCTGCTTGTGGATTCAGGACTTGTGCATGGACCTGCAGAACCTGGAGCGGGCTCGGGATGACCTGCGCTTTCGGGGTGTGAAAGGCACCACTGGCACTCAAGCCAGCTTCTTGCAGCTCTTCGAGGGAGACCACAGTAAAGTAAGTCAGGCAGCCCAGGGTGCAGACTTACAGTCTTTGCAGTTCTCTCCTTGGGAGAACGTGGAGATTCTGGCATCAAATTCACAAGGGCACTGCAGTCCCTCTGCGGCCCACTGACAAGGCCCTGTGTGAAAGGAAGCAGAATTTGGAGAGGGGAGTGCTTCCCAGCCAATTAAACCTTTGTTGACAGTTAACTGGGAAAATCATTGGGTCCTTCTTGTTGTTGTTGACCTTCCTGACGTGCTGCATCCTGAGCTCTGTTTGTTTTTGCTTTTTTCTTCACCCTGAGGTTGAAGAGCTGGACAGATTAGTGACTGCAAAAGCAGGATTTAAGCGGTATGTAACAAGCATGCTCAGTCACTTGGATTTGGTGTTAACAAAGCATGACTCCTGCTGTCTGTGCTGACCCAGGTTCCCCTGGCTGTCAGACTGACATCTGTGCTGCTGTTGACTTATCTCCCTGTGCCATCTTCCACTCCTAGTTGCAGCTTCACACAGGAAGCTTCACGTCCTCAACAGGCCACCTCTACTTGTCTTCCTGTGAGGGTACAGCTGGCTGGTTTTCCCTCTGCTTTTCTCTCTCCCATCTGCATGCTGCCCAAAACTGACAGCCTGAATCCAAAGCTGTTATCGTCAGGGCAGAATGGCAGCCCTCCACTTCAAGAGGCACGTCACTGCTTGCTCAAAGTCCTGCACTTCAGTCATATCTGTCTGGAGCACTCAACTTCTGTGCTTGTTTTTAGGGCGTATATGGTCACAGGGCAGACCTACAGTCGCAAGGTGGATATTGGAGTCCTGTCTGTGCTGGCCAGTCTTGGGGCATCCATACACAAGGTGAGCACCCTGTTAGTATGCATTGGGAAGAAGGGGAAAGCATTTGAGATCTTGAAGAGAAGGTACTTATGGTGTAGAATGCTCCAGAAATATTAATAAGTATACCTTGTTCAGCTGCTGTCTTTGTGATTGTATAAATTCACTGCTGGGTACATGCCTAGTAATCAAACCTCTAAAATCTTAAGACCAGAGGCAAATAAAACATGGTTACTGAGCAGAGTCTAAAATGGATTAACAAATTCCACACCAGACATTAGTCTAATCTATGCTAAATTGATCCAATTAGAGTAAACGTCTTTCCTGGTGGTGAATGACTTTTCAAATTTTACCATTTGGTCCTAGTTAATTGCTTCTCTGATAATGGTGTTATTCTCTGTCCTTGTGGATTCTTCTCTTTGCTTTGTTTATGTTCCCTCCCTCCTCCTCTGCTTGGGCTGAAGTGGGCTGTAGTATTTTCTTCTGGTTTATTTTTGTAGGCTGGCTGGTTCAGTGAGCACGTGTTATCTGGATTTGCAAATCCCTGTAATTTTATTATGCATTTTCACTGATACCTCCTGGTATCTTCTCCATTCCCTGCCAAGATTTGTCCTTCTTGGAGTCCTGTTCTGTGCTAACACGATGGACTCCTTGTTTTCCTTATGCTTTCTTGACTGGGATTTTTAGGCTGGGAAGTCTGATTACAGTGTCAATCTGAAGTTTTTCACTGCCTCCCAAATTTACTTCTTGGAGACAAATGCAAACACTTCTCCAGGAACACTAATGGGAGACACACATATTGATGTGCGTTAGCTTGGTTGGTTGATAACTTCTTGGTCTTTTTTTCCTAGATTTGTACTGACATTCGTCTTCTGGCCAACCTGAAGGAGATAGAGGAGCCTTTTGAGAAGGACCAGATTGGTAAGGGATGGGAGACATTTCTTGGACACATTTCTATGTGTCTTTTCCTTTACGTTGGTGCAGCCTTTTAAGCAAAGTCAGAAATGTCACTGATAGAAATTGCTTTAAATTAACTGAGGTTGGGCATTGTTCATAATCTGGGTCTTTTGAAATGGAGAGGGAGGAAATGCACTTTACCCAGAGGTTTCTGGATATTAAGTAATTAAAATCAGATTTGTATTTCTGCACTTCCTGGGTCTGGGGGGAGAGCAGAAACCATAACGTATTCTGGGGTCTGGGGAGTACTTACTGGTTTCCATTCCTTGTGAAGCTCAACAGAGCTGTAGGTTCTCTGCCTGACCCAGCATTTTGCTCTTTATAAAGAGACAAGTTTGGAATGATGAAACTAGGCTGGGCCCTTGCACTAGGGATAGCATAGAGAGATGGCACTAAATACTGCATGAAAAATTAATTCCATTTGTTGTTTTTATGTGGTAGTACTTCTGTTCTGAGGAACAGCAAAATGCTTTCTCACTTTTTTCTCCCCACGTCTGGATGTTTCTGTTGTGAAGGGGAGTGTGGTGTTGTAATTTCATTATTCCATTTTGTCCTTAGAAAATCATCACGTTTTGAGGCTTCAGTCAAAAAAAGATTATCCTTAATAGACCTTCCTTATGTGGGGGTGGACCTTTGTCTCTTCTTCCTGAATACAGTGCTCCTGTGACCTGTCCCATCACATTTCTCAGGCTCCAGTGCCATGCCTTACAAGAGGAACCCCATGCGCTCGGAGCGCTGCTGCAGCCTGGCCCGGCACCTGATGACCCTGGTGCTGGATCCCCTCCAAACTGCCTCCGTGCAGTGGTTTGAGAGAACACTGGATGACAGTGCCAACAGGTTTGTCTAGATCATGCAGTGCAGCAATTTCAGGTGGTCTTGTGCAGGAGTGTCTTTTGGTGTAGTTAGAAAATACTATTTTTAAACTAAAACCACAAGTTGCCACCCTGATGAGATGCAGTCTCAGTAGAATCTAGAGATTACAGACTGGTTTCCTGTCTAAGGCCAGATGAAATCTGTTAGGGTTTTTTAATATCAGAATCTTCTGCAAGGTGAACCAGCAGAGAGAGGTAGGGATGCAGAAGCCATGGTAATAAATTGCTCTCACAGTCTTCCTGTTTCAACAGCATATTATAGCAGTTCTTACATTTCTCAAATTTTCCTCCCTGTTTTGAATGTAGTTTTTGACCATGCTCCTCTTCACTTCTTAAAGAATAATTCAGTATTTTATCTGTAACCCCTTAACAATCCAAATAATCTAAAGAAACTTATTTTCATCTCTTTGTGAAGTGTTGTACTTTACAAGAAGTAGTTCAGAGCCTAAAGAAAGTGCACAAACTCTTTTAAGTGATGTTTCATGAAAACCTGTGCAGGTCTTTTAGGTACTGCTCAGCAAAGTTTGCTTTGTTTTCTGATTCTTCATTATGACTAATTTGAGATGAGAGAAAGTTACCTGTAATTATTTTCTACTAAATTATAGCCATCAAATTCAATGCTTGCATCTTCTAATTAGTATTAAATTTGCATAAAGCTTTTTTTCATTTCAAAGTATTCTTCTGGGGCAGAATTTGATCTCTTAGCATCTTAGAAATCTTTAGATTCTAAGATTTTTTTCTTAGATTTCTAAAATACATGGCTTGTGGAACAATGAACAACATCACTTCTGGCTATAGAGTAGTGCTCAGATTGTTGATGAGAATATTATATTTAAATGTCTCCACAAACATAATGTCTGTGTGAAAGTGTGGAAGATCTTTTTCCAGAAGGACTTTACTCCATAGTTGCTAGTCTTATTAAGAAGCTGCTGAACAGGCAGAAGAAAAGGTTGTAAATGGAAAAAATTGGAGACTGGTTGATGTGGTGTGATTATTTCCCAGTACATACCAGATATTGAGAGAGGTACTGGGATGTTTCAAATTTTATTTTCACCTCATCTGATAGAAAGGGTCATTTGTCCACTTCACAATCCAATTTTAAAACTCTGTGCCTTGGATTTTTCTCCTTAAAGCTGTAGTGTTTTGAAAGGAGAGCAAGCCAGAGGAAATGCAATCAACCTACAAAACAGCAAGTCCTTTTCAAGACAGTGTGATAGAATTGGGGGCCTTAGGTGCAGCTGAAGGCTCAAGTACTGGTATATTTTAAAAGATCAGAGTTCAGAATGGGCCAGGCACTGCTGTCACAGGTGGATGATGCTGTAATTGCTGCACGGTGACCCAGAGTCTTTTGCCTGGTACCACTCAGTCCCCACCACTCTTCTCCTTTCCCTCCTTGCCTTCTTGTCCTTCTTCCTTGCCGGGAGCCTCCTTTGTGACCAGGAGCTGGTCTCTTGGAGGAAGTCCCCACCAAACACATGGATCACTTTGGAAGTTCCCCTCTGAGTGCAGGCAGACACAGCTTGAGCATGCACCATGTCTCACTCCTGGGAAGCAGGATCAGTAGATCTCTCTCTCTCTCTCTTGCTACTAACCAAAAAAAACCCCAACAACCCAAACCCAATCCCCTCCCCCTTCTCCCCAGCTTGAGAGCTACTGCTGTAAGATGTTCCTTAGCTTTCCTCATTGTGACCCTTTAGCAGCAAGAAGCACCTCTAAGGAGAACAATGCCAGCTTTAGGGTCACAGTCATTGTATTTAGAGAGTTATTTACAGAAACTAAAGAGCTGGATTTGGGGCAGACTGGAGTGTTGCCTTTATTGCTGACTGGGGCCCTGGGGGTGTGTCCCGTAGGCGCGTGTGTCTGGCTGAGGCTTTCCTCACAGCTGACATCATCCTGAGCACCCTGCAGAACATCTCCGAGGGACTTGTGGTGTATCCAAAGGTAAAGCAGGAGATAATGTGTGCAGGGCTGCACCCTTGAAAAAGCTGCAGCTATGCCAAGGTGTAAAAAAAAAACCTCCCACTCAAAGGGTTACATTTTTATCTGTTAGTTCAGATGGTTTCTGATTTCTGCTCTCCATCCTCACTGTGTTTTCACTGTTTGCAGGACAGACATGAAAAGGTACTTTTTGAAGCCAAAAGGTGGTAAATTAAGAATTTCTCAAAAAGGATCTTTTTCCCTGAACATCATGATGGAGCTGTAGAATGTACCACCAAAAGATATTGTCAAGGCAGATCTTGTACAGCCCTGTAACTTACCTACAGGTTAAAAAAAAAAATGCTATGTACATCTTTTCCACTGTAATGTGGGAAATGTATCTTCACAAGATACAGATTCTAAGTATTATCAGCTTCGAGACCTGGATTTCCATAGCTAAGTTCAAAAAGAGAAATTATCTTTGCATCATTGTCCAGTCCTGGTGATTAAAAGGGAGAGGAAATCTTCACTGGGAGTCCCAGCTGTCTACAGAACTGCTATAATACTGTCTCTTCTCTGCTTTGTTCTGCTGCAGGTGATCGAGAGGAGGATCCGGCAGGAGCTGCCGTTCATGGCCACGGAGAACATCATCATGGCCATGGTGAAGGCAGGGGGCAACCGTCAGGTACACATTCAAACACATCTCTGCTCCTTGCCTGCCACCTCAGTCCTGAGTCACCAAAGCACCTGGGCTCCTCCCCTGACCATCTCACCTTGCTTTGTCCTCCTCCCTCTCCCACAGAGTTATTGATACCACTCTGGTGCTGCAAAGCCAGACTCTGCTCTCTGACGAGAGTGGTTGTGGACGTCTGTAGTTACTGATGGGAGCACTGTGTCTGAGCACTCTGCCTGTGCTGGGGAAGAGGCAGACCTATTTTTATATCAGATACGAGTAGGCATTTTCCTTTTGCAAATGTTTGAAGGAACTGGGAACTCAGGCCAGGCTTCTTTAAATGGAATGTGTTGGCAGTTGGCTACCTTATAAATTAAAAGAATGAATCAGTGCTGTTAACTAAAAAACAACTGAGACTATTCTGAATCATTCATTCATGTGTCACTCTTCTCTAATTCAGTAGAGTGTTTTTTATCATTAACTTTGTTTATGGTCCTTCATTCAGTTTTCTGTGTTCAAGAAAACCTTAAATAAACATTTTCCTTAGTAAAAAAACCCAGACACAATTAGATTATACTTCCTTATAGAATCTTGCAATTTAGTTTAAAACTAATAATCAAACTTCTATATTAATAAACCAGCTTATTTTCACTTACCTTTAGATAGTAATTTGTCCTCCTATGATTATTTCCACATCAGGGAAAGAAGTTAAACTTGCAAGATAGTAATAGCAGAAGGATTTGTTAGAAGCTTTGAGTGGGATATGTGGTTCTAGTTCTCTGAAACACTTCTGGCAATTCACCTGTGATGATAGTCAGGAAAAATCCTTTTTCCTCCCACCCCTGCACGTCTCTGATGTTTGTCACTGGCTCAGTCAGTAGCTTCCCAACTAAACTGCAGGGTCACATCTTGTTGGGTAAATTTTGCTATCTTTTCATCTGGTTCTTTTTCTCAAGTATCCTGTACATACATAAACAATCTCTGTTTTGATTAGATTGAAGAGGGAACTTCATTTGTGTTTGTTATTGGCCTACGTTCTTTCTGTTGCTGTTTAATTACAAATCTATAGAGTTTAGTACAGTCGTAAAATCTGTTCTTAGTCACATTAGTGTGTTGTGTTTTGATGTGCTGGGAACTCCAGAGCAGTGTAGTTTCTACACTTTCCCACCTTCCCACATGGAAACTCACTTCCTCTCCTCACCACTGAACAGCTCAGTCCCCTAAACATCCAGAAGACAGATCTGTTCACCTGAGGCAGGTCACTGCTTGGAATAAGATGGCCTTTGGGCAAAGGAAGCAAGGGACAGGAGATCTTTTTCCTCCTAACTGAAGGATATCCTCCTAACTCAAGGATAACACATATGAGGAGAAGATTCTTACATGGCTGTAAATTTAAGGGCCAGCGTGACAGCATCTGATTTTGCAGGTGGTCCCTGACTAAAGGACTAACCCAAACTAAAGTTGGGTTCCCTTTTTACAATTGATTCCACAGAAAATCAAGGGATTAGGAAGTGTTGCCAAAAAATTGTTGCAAGGGTTTTGCCAGTCTTAGTGTCACACGAGGGTTTTTTAGGAAAGAATACCTTGAGGCCCTCAAGTTTGTAAAGGGTTTTTTTCTCCCTTCATTCTGTCCTTACATAAGCCAGGATTTACAGTCTCACTGCTCATTAAGTGAGACAGGTTCTTTTCCTTTTTCCAAACCTTTAGAGGTTTTACATTGTTATGCTCCCAAGACGTTCCATACAGGGTATGACTAGTGGTTAATAAGGAATTCCTTTGTTCTCAGAATACTTTGGGAACAGCTACTCTAGTCTGTCTTTGGAAAAAATCATGCAAGGAGGGAATAGAACTGAAAAAATATCTGATAATGACTCCTAGGAGTCTCTGGGGATTTAGAGGAAGTTTAAAGGGTTCCAGTGTCGTAGGTTTGTGGTATAATTGAAGAGGGAATGTGCATGTCATTCAGACTGTTTTAGCCTCAAAGGGCAGATGTGGAAGAAAGATGATCTTAGTTTAATGTTAAACTAAGTGGTATGTAGGACATGGCCATCCAAGCTGTGTCTCATTTGTATGCTGGCCAGTGCAGTACACTTTGATGTTTCTCCCTTCTGCAGAAGCTGGCAGTGTGAGCATGTGCTGTCAGGAACAATGGGATGACTTTTTTATTTCCCTCTCCTCTTCTCCCTGCTCTTGCAGGATTGCCACGAGAAGATTCGTGTTCTCTCCCAGCAAGCAGCTGCTGTTGTGAAACAGGAAGGGGGTGATAATGACTTCATCGACCGGGTCCGTGCTGATCCTTACTTCAGCCCTATCCATAAACAGCTTGAAAGCCTCTTGGATCCCTCCTCCTTCACTGGACGTGCTCCTCAGCAGGTGAAGCACTGGAAAGAGGCTTCAGGCGTTAGAGTTTGCAGCACAGTGTGTTATTTAGTCCTGCATCCTCCTGTGTGCCCCAGAGTGTACCTAATATGCACCTCTGCCCATGATACTAAGGCAGACACATTTCTCTCTGGGTTTTCCTTGGCTTCCTTGTCTGTCTTTGCAGGCTGCACATTTTTTAGTCTGGATGTATCAGACTGCTGGGTGTCTCGGTGAAATAGAGACCCCACTAAAACAAGCAGGTCTGAACAGGGAGGAGAAGAGAACCAGAGAACCCTTTCTTGTGCTCACTTTCTCTTTTCCATCTCTCTTGAACAGGTGGCAAAGTTCCTGAAGGAGGAGGTTCGACCCATGCTGGTTCCATACCAAAGCAAGATGGGTGGGAAAATTGAGCTGGCCCTTTAGGTGTGTTCTGCAAAGGTGTGGGCACAGGATGATAATAAAAGCCTTGCTGAACCAGGTCTGTTTACTGTGTCACCTCATTTTGGTTCTCTGCAGCCCATTTAACCCCCAGAGCTTACAGCCACCTTGATTCCAGATGGGCTTTTCATTCTTTGTCTGCTGTTTAATCAAGCTTCCACCTATGGTGTGCTGAGTTACTGAGAAACACTTGATGTGACAAGGTGACTCTGTCACTGTACCTTTCACTGGCCCCTCCTAGAGCACTGACAGCTGTTCACAGAGCAGTGCCAGGTGCTGCCTGAAATTCATGTGTGACTTGTAGAAGAGTGGGGATAAAGGGAGCTGAGCTCACATTTCCATCTTCTTTGCTCCTAAACTGCCTCCACAGGTGTCTCAGAAGATGATAAAAGGTCTGAGTAGTGTGATTTGGGGAGCAAATAGCTCAAGACATTAGGAATAATGAAAAGGAGAGGCTGTGGAACTTCTTGGTTCATCAAAACTGGTGGTCCTTTAGTGCTCCCTTGCTGGTTTAATACTTTACCTGGTTCTGTAGCTTCTGAAAATTACATTTACAGGGTTAGGAACCAGCCATTGTGATGTACTTTCACAGGTGCTTTGCTGTAGCTGCTTGATACTGAATGGCAGCATGTGGGAGTGGTTCTCCAGAGCAAGTTTTGTCCAAGAAGGAAATAAAAAAGATGTTGGAATTCATTGGATGCCAGAGAAATTGAGGAGTTTGGTCTTATTTCTGGTCCTGAATGTTCTGTTTGTAATGTCTGTGCTTTACTGGGCATTTACTGGACCAAACTCTTCTTCCTTTGACTTAAACTGAAATGATTCCCTCATGTCTTCTTCCAGTGTTGTTCCATTAGAGCCCACTTCTTTTGCTTGAGTGCAATAAAAAGCTCCCTCTTCCCTCTGGTACTCATTCAGACTGTCAGAACTGACACAATCAGAAGTACATGGTTCTTTTTTCAAGTGTGTTAACAGGAGAGAATTAAGAAAAGCAGAACTAATTAAAAGAAGCTACCTGCTCTCCTTCAGGTCACCTATGTTTAAAGAGGATTTCAAAATGCTCTATGCTTGTCCCTGGTATGTAGTTGGAAAGGGGAGGCTGCAAGCCATGATCTCCCCTCATCTACGCTGCTCAGGCTCTAGCTTGCCTCTGACTATGGCATTCCAAACATCTCGAACTTGAGCAAATTTTAGTGTTAAAACATTTTGCCTGCTTGTGCTATTGACCATTAGTTGTCTGTTTGCAAAGGGTAACTCTGGAAAAAAAAAATAATTGAAACTATTACTCAAAAGGAAAAGAAAACAAAGGCATGGAAGCCCTCCTATTTTGGCCCTCCTTCCTCCTCTGTGAGCATAAAAAAAACAACCCTGTGCTGAGAGTGAATTTTTGTGTTAGGCAGAGTTGTTGTCCTGGAAAGTTTAAAGAGTAACGATGGTAGGGAAAACGTCACCCTACTAGAAACCTGCGGCACAATACACAAATCCTTCTGGAGGCTTCTGCTCCTTTTTTAGTAGTTTGGTTTGGGATCTTGCTTTTTTTTTTTTTACCCTGGAGTTGACAAAGGTGTAGTTCCCCATTTTTGGTTGTTGGAGTATCACCAAGAAGCAGGTTTTACTAATTCACGAGGCCAGATCACTCTTCTGGTTCATTCTGGTATCCCTGTAGCCTGTGTCCACGACAGATGCGAGCAGTAAAGTGGCCGTGGGTCTTTGCCCTGCCTGGAAAATAAATCGGTCTAGGCCTGAATGATGGGAAAAGAACCGATAAATTAATGTAGAACCGATAAATCAATGTAGACCCGAAGTACGGCTCCCCTCGGAGGCCGCTGCGGGGGCTGAGCGCCGCCCTTCCCAGCGCTGGCTCCCGCCACCTCGATGGGCGGCAGGGGCC